TATTGGCATAGGCCCCCAAAAATCTATATTTGACTCTAATCAATATAAAGATGCTATGGTTTGTTACAGCCCTGGATTACAGTAGCAGACAACACACCTTATAAATCAGATGGTGATAACAAACACTTCTTGGTTCCGGTGTTTTAAGGCTGAATGGTAAAAAGATATTTTTCCTTTCCTTTGCTCAGCCTTGACAGTCATGTGGTGTTGTGGTTCCAGGAAGCAAAGTGTAGATCAATAAAACCTCTCCGGGCTGGGTAGTGCAGTCACATGACCATGACATCAAGCACCGGAGCCAGTGATTGGCTCTCTGGGCTAATGATCATCTTGCCATTTCCTCATTTACCAAGACAAACTTTCTTATTTATTTCCTCTATCGACATCTGGATATCTCCTACCTGATATTTATTCACATCTCTGCAAATAAATGAATACAATGCTATGAAATTCAATGTACTTTTTCTCCCAATGCTACATTTAAAGGAATTGTTTGGTTGCAACTTCTACTATTTGAATACTGACTACTTTAGTTTTAAGGAACATGTGTTTGTGCCATCATTAGAAAAACGTCACATCATGCAGATTTAGGGAAATAGATGTATGGGTATATTTGTTATAAAGTGATCATAGGTAAAAGAAATTCCTTTTCCCTCTGCAGGAGGCCAGGATGAACGGCGATTCAAGTGCCGGAGTGGTGACGGCCCCCCCTCCCACCACTGCCCCCCACAAGGAACGGTACTTTGACCGTGTGGATGAGAGTAGTCCGGAGTACCAGAGGGAGAGGAACATGGCGCCTGACCTGCGGCAGGACTTTAACATGATGGAGCAGAGGAAGCGGGTCTCCATGATACTTCAGAGCCCGGTCAGTGGAACAGAAATATTAAATCTATGTGTTTATACATATTAATATTCCAATTCAGTAGTTTCTGTATCATGGATCAGGCTGTTAACACACGACACATTCCTACATTTGGTGAATTTATAACTATAACTTATAACTATGGTCCGTTGATAAATGCCCACTGCAATAAACAGCATTTTAAATGTGAATGGGCACTCTCAACATCACATGATGGATCCAGTGTATTCTCCAATAGCAGTTTCCTAGAATATGTAGGACAGAGAGCTGCGCTGTGTAAAGGCCTATTGTGTTCGTGAAAAGTCCTGGAAATGGGCCCTAAATGGTGCAAAAGTCTTCTTTCTGTTGTTTTTGGGGTCACTGCGCCCTCTTCTGTTTGCTTTTTGCCCTTACATATTTTTTCTGTTTCTGTTTGTGTATCTGTGTTTATGACCGACAGGCCTTCTGCGAGGAGCTGGAGACAATGATCCAGGATCAGCTGAAGAAGGGGAAGACGCCCACAAGCCTTTTGGCTCTGCAGCAGATCGCAGACTTCATGACCACCAGCATGCCTTCCATGTATCCCGCTGCACCACAAGGAGGCATGGCAGCGCTCAACATGAGTAAGCACAGAAAAGAATGTGTGTGTGTGTGTGTGTGTGTGTGTGTGTGTGTGTGTGTGTGTGTGTGTGTGTGTGTGTGTGTTGTGTGTCTTTTTGACCTCAGCCACACTATGTCTGTGCTCACAGTTAGTAATGCGGCATGTGACAGAGTTGGTATCTGGACAAAGAGTCCAGCTGGAGTCCTGTGAGCAGGATTTCTTTCTGTCCTGCTGTCCAGTAATCAATAATGTTTCTTATTTTGATATATACAGAGAGCTATATATATCTATTATTTTTGCAATCATAGTGTCTCGTCTCAGCATTATTTTGGTTTCTCAGTCTCTTTCATGTAATTGAACACAGTCTTCCTGTCTGGTTCATCTCCTCCTCTCAGGTTTGGGTATGGTGACTCCCGTGAACGATCTGCGAGGCTCAGACTCTATCTCCTATGAAAAAGGAGAGAAGCTACTTCGCTGCAAGCTGGCCGCCTTTTATCGGCTCATTGACTTGTTTGGCTGGGCGCAGCTCATCTTCAACCACATCACAGTGAGATTCTTGATAACACAAGATACCATGTCAACTGACACATGCCAGCGGGCAACAGGATTTTAATAAACTCGGGCTCAAAAAAACATGAATCTTATGGGCTGCTTCTAAAAATGTCATGAAGTGAGTCTGGAGGAGCCAGTTTGAATGGGCTTGTTGCAGCTGATACAATTAATAGTTGTACTATTGAGTTCTATAATTTACAGGTTCTAAGTTTAGCTCTGTCAGGTGAGGAAATGATGGATCATCAGCCAATACTAATCACCAGGGGGAAACCAAAGCTCAGCTTTGTATTTAGTTTTCAACATTTCACTTTGTTCTTTAATAATCGAATCCCTGTATACTCTAAAGGTGCTGTGGCCTTTGTTTGGGAAATAAACTGCAATGGTATCATTGAGCAAATGTCAGTATAGTATATTAACCTTTTTAACCCATGTGGATCTTGGCAAATATATAATTTTATAATATATATATATAATATTCTTGATGCATTCTTGATGCATTCTTTTTTGGTTCCATGTAAATGTTTTAGTGTCGCAAACATCCTTAAATAATTGATCGATTGCTTCAGCTTAATTTGAGCCAGTATCCGTGTAACACTGTAATCTAGCTCGACTTTCTTCCTGTCTTGTAGGTCAGGGTGAATTCAGATGAGCAGCGGTTCCTTATTGTCCCTTTTGGGCTCCTGTACAGTGAAGTCACTGCCTCCAGTCTGGTGAGTATCTGTCAGAACTCTTTGTCTTTCTTCAGAAAATAAAAACGTATTTCTCTTTAAATTAATTCACCTAAAATATGGTGTGAAATCAAAAAATATGTTGCACGTTTCAAAGCTAAACTCAAACCTGTTATTCGGCTAATGCATTATTGTGTGACACCCCCTGCCTTCCAGATTAAGATAAACTTTCAAGGTGAGGTAGTCGACCGGGGAAGCACCAACCTTGGAGTCAACCAGGCCGGCTTCACTCTCCACTCTTCCATCTATGCCTCACGGCCCGATGTCAAATGTATCGTACATTTACACACAGCTGCGGGTTCTGCGGTAAGGGACAGTGACTACACAGTAATAATACGCAGTGTAAACAGACATAGGAACATTATAAACTTATGTTGTGTGGTGTTGTTTTGTTTCTTTGGTTGCAGGTGTCTGCCATGAAATGTGGTCTGTTGCCAATCTCACCTGAGGCGCTGTCTTTAGGCGAGGTGGCCTACCATGACTACCACGGTATACTGGTGGATAGCGAGGAGAGTGCCCTTATACAGAAAAACCTAGGGCCTAAGAGCAAGGTAACAGCTCTGTGTATATGTGTGTGAAAATGAAAATAAGAAAAAACTAATATTTCTTTCATTCTTGAAGAAATGGTCTCATTTTGTAACTTTTTCTTTCAGACCAGCAGTAATATTTTGTGCGTGCTTGTCTAAGTTTGAATGTTTCCTGTGTCCCAGGTGCTCATCCTGAGGAACCATGGGTTGGTGACTTTGGGTGAAACAATAGAGGAAGCTTTCTTTTACACCCAGAACCTGGTCACTGCCTGTGAAATCCAGGTACGACACACACTGAGCTCTGTAAATCCTATTTTAGCGAAAAGCTTTTGGGACTGATTTGGTGGTGTTTATTCTGAAACTCTCACCATAAACGTCCGTTATCATCTTTTTTAATTACAAAATGCTTTATTTACTTTTTTTGGTGCTCGCAACAATATCTGATTCATGTTTTGAACAGACAGTGCTATTTTCTATTATAGTATAACATAGACCACCATGTATTTTCATGTGGTGTCATGATACCTTTGTTTGTTTGTATTTTTCACAACAACTGTCTGTGTCTCCTGTCTCTCCACATCTTCATATATGTTCACTTTCTTCATTAATGTCTGTCTGTATGTGTGTGTGTGCGTTTTGTTGGATGTGGGTGTGTCTATGTATGTCTACATTTTTTTCCTTCTGGATCTGTCTGTGGTTTCTTTGTCTGTATCCCCCCATAATATTTTCCAGGTGCGAACACTGGCCAGCGCTGGAGGACCAGATAATCTGGTGATGCTGGACCCGGGGAAATATAAGTCACGTTCAAAGGCCCCTGAGCTGGTCGGCGACGGGTCCTCTACAAACCCCAAGTGGCAAATCGGGGAGCAGGAGTTTGAGGCATTTATGAGAATGCTCGACAATTTGGTAAGTACAAAAAAAGAGGAAAAGGGGCATACTGAAAAAAACATTTGGAAACAAAGTAACTGATCCATAGACGTCCGGGAACCCTGGCATCTGGATTAATTTACAGCCACTTCCCCTCCTTTACGTGGTTAGAACTTAGAGGCTTTGAAATGTCCAGTCAGTTGTGTATTAACCATTTTCCAAACCTCTGCTGTTCTCTTCTTTCTTCCTGTTGTCCAGGGCTACAGGACGGGCTATCCTTACCGCTGCCCGGCATTGCGGGACAAAGGTAAAAAGTACAGTGATGTGGAGAACGCTCCCTCTACCCACGGTGGTTACTCATACGGGGAGGACAGCGACTCAGGCGCTCGCTCCCCGCTGAAACACAGCTTCCAGCGCGGCCAGCGTGACAAGACCCGCTGGCTCAATGCCGGTGGCCGGCCCGATGAGCCCTGCGAGGATGGGCCTGACGCCAGCAGCCCCAAGTCGAAGCCTAAGGTGTGGACGAACATAACACACGATCACGTCAAACCCTTGCTGCAGTCTCTCTCGTCCGGTGTCTGCGTGCCAAGCTGTATAACCAACTGCTTGGTCTGTGCCTACCTTATTGTTCATAGTATAGATTTTACAGCTACCTTGTTGGTGGAAACGGGTAGTTGGTTGGCATCCTGAGGTCCTGGGGACAGGGAGGATCTAAAGTACAGTACAGAGCTAAAATCTTTATTTTTGTCTTAAGCCTTTTCATGTGCTCACAGTCTAAAAATGTTACTTCTTGTAGGCACTTTCAAACTTTGATTTCAGACATCCTATTAACCCACCTTTCTAATGCAGTTACCTCAGCTCTTTTAATTCCTGTGTAGCACAGCTAAGATTATCTACTGAATCTCTTCAATCTGTTCTCCCTCCTGGTCTCCTAATGCTTCATGATGCCAGGCCAGCTCCCCACAGCATGCCCCACTGCATGTGTAGTAGTGAAATGCATTGTTGGTGTTGATGTTTTTCCCCAGAGGAGCGAGCAGCAGGGGTGTGGCATGAGTCCTCGAGTGGGCAGGTGAATGTGGAAAGAAGCTGTGATGTGTTGCCGCAAACCACATCGTTGCTCACTCTGTTAAACCCACTCCTTTAGTTTTTTGTCTATGCATCTTGATGTTGGCAAAGTGTTGTTGCTAAAAATGAGTCAGAGAACAGATCAAGAAGAGCAAGTTCAGGGAGATTTGAGGGAAAAATCAATCAAACCTAAGTATGAGTTTGCTTATTGTGCCACTCACATAGTGTATTTATTAAAAATCTCATAAGATTAATATTCTCTGGATTGCGAAGGGAGGAGGCATGTGTTTCACTTCCAGAAAACTGCATAATAGACCTGTTTTGATAAGAAAACAATAATTAAGGTCACAAAACAAATCAAAAACTTCAATTGCAAAAGATTAATGCATCCTGCTTTTGTGATGAAATTTTTTCTAAAATTGAGCTCAGATTACAGGACTCTCATGTACCTTGTCCGCTCAAGATTATCCTGCAGTGTGATGGATTACAGAGCAGTTCTTAACCCTCCCGAACTGTAGGTAGAATCATGGGGCTGCAAAAACGACGAGGAACATTCAGAGGTTAATGCCAGTTAGGGTGCTATTGTTGACATATATTCTAACTGACAGTAAAAATTTAACCTGAAGAATAGATAACCAGTGTTGACTGCGTCTTTCCAACAATTTTTTCATTTAGACTCGTTTCGTCTTATGTTTATTAACATTAGAGCAAGTTGTCGCTGTATGCCACCCTCCATTTGTCTATATTCTTTTTCATGAGTAGAGCAATAATAGTAATAATAGCGTGTGATGCACCATTCTTTTTTAAATATTGTTGTGTGGGTGTGTAAAAGACTCTGCGAACGCATATCTGAGAAAACGTTTGTGATGCAGCCTGATTTTTAAAACTCCTGTAGTCTGAGCCCAGCTTTACTTCTGCAACTTCCAGTTGTTTCTGTTTTCTCTATTATTTTTGCTTCCTCTAATTTCTGGTTTTAGTTTGATTCTGAAAAAAGTTCAACTTCAAAGCCTGCATGAGTGGATTTTGTCTGAAGAGAAAAAAAAATGACGAACAAAAAGCCATGAAATTTGACCTGACTTTTGAATCAATTATCTCCTGTTGGGAAAGTAGGAAAGGTTGTGTTGTGAGACTCTTTCTCAGTGAGTATATCATCTTTACATGTTCATCCCATTCCCAACCAACCCAACCCAGCTACTTCCATCAAGGAAACCCTTCCTCATCCAGCCCCCTGGTTTCAGCAGCTAACCAGCCAAGCTTATAGTAAACACAAGAATGAAGTCATGAGCTTACGCTTTCCACTGCAAATTACATGCTTAGTTTATAAAGGTCAAGTCAAACGTTTTGCATGGAAGCTGAAGATTTTGTTTGTATACTCATACGCTGCTGCTCATTCAGTTTGGTGCAAGAAATGGGTGCAGATTTTGTTTTTATTTCCCCTCAATCATGCTGAGCATTACCAGGTTGTCGATGGGGTATTTTAATACGAGAATATTTAACAAGACAACAAAAGGTTTCGTCCTCTGCAGGACAGATACACTCATGTCTTACATTGTAGCTTTGTGACAGTAGCTGTTATTATTTTTGTCCCAACATGGGCGAGTGTGCTCCGGTGTGTTTCTCTCTCTATCTCTGTCGTCCTTGTTGTCGTATATCAGCCTGGGAAATGACTTTGGTGATGCCAGCTCACCCCTCACTGCCACTCTCGCTTCGTAAGCCAGCCTCATCGTCTAAGTCACCCAGCCACCCCTCACCCCCCCTCACCCCTCACCCCCTGCCCCCCGTCTCTGCACTTAATATAAATACACACC